CAATGTTAAAAATGTCAATTGTACAAACTCGAATAACATGTCTTCTACAGGATGTTTGTGAGTGAAACTTTCCCTGTCTCACTGCATTCCTAGTGTGCTTCGTTAATGTGATTTTTGGATAAATGGCCTTTACAAGTCAGGTATGTGTCTGTTGACATTTCCAGGCTTTTTGTCTTTGTATTGGCTGTGTTCTCAATTACAGCTGTCATTTCCTGTAGGCATTTGCAGTTTCCTGCTTCATTCTCTCCAACCATTACTCCTTGCTTACAGATTCTTTTAGATTTTCTCCTGTTTCCATTGGCTACATGATACAGGACAAGGAGTATGAAGACCATCCCTTTGACAGGGATGTTACAAGTCGTATCACATATTAGGAAATTCATTTTCAGGGATCAGTTAGATATGGACAACAGAAAACCTGGAAAATGTGTTTGTTTAAAGTAAGATCATCCAATGTTCAGAACTCCTGAGGAATATCACAGCTATGGAAAGAAGTTTTCAATAAGCTTGTGCTATGTTTTCTTTTTCTTCCTGCTAGGAATTTAACTTAATAAACTGAAATCCAGAAAATAATTTCTAGTATCTCAGCTATCACACACCTGTACATGGTTTTCAAAGCATGTCAATTCTCTTGTTTCTCAATGACAGAGTTTGGTTCAGGCTTATCTTGCTTCCCCTCCATTCTCTTACATCTACATGTTATCAGGGCAGAAATATGAAGATTATTGTCTGTTTTAAAGAAAAGTAACATTTGACCTTTTCCCACACTGCAAGCACAAAGGCCAAGGAATTGGCATCCTCTGAGCTACATACCTGATCCACTGTTCGTCTTCTATTTCGGTACGTAATAACATTTTGTGAAATACTTTTAAATGTTGAGATGTATTTACAGCCCGCATTTCACCAAGAAATATTTTATCACTCGTGATAATTCATTTTGTATACAACTTATCATTTAAAAAGGAAAAAGAAAAGAATCCCCCCAAAGACTTGAAGTTTTCACTTTTAAGTCATGAAGAGTACTAAGTTCAGACAACTCAATTCACATTTACAGATACCCTGTCTGTGAAAGGCCAGTAAAAGCAGTTTCTGAAAACAAAGTTCACCAGAATGCTACTCATCTAAAACCCAAGCTGAAATATCCTCATTTACCACTCAAGAAATTTTAGACAATGCACTTATTCAAGACAAAAGTGAAAACCAAAATTAGAAAGCTAAAATAACGACATATGGGATATAGCTTTGACAAATATTCTTGTGCTATTCCACGAACATTCAGACCTACATGTTTTCTGAACCAAAATCAACAGATGAACTTACCAATATAAAATAAACATTCGGAATGCAACATACTCTCTGTCCACAACCGACACACTTCACTTTCTGTGAGAGCTTCAACACCGTAATAGGCTTGGTATTCCAGTTTTGGCAACAGAAATATCGGAACAATCTGTAAAAGGCAAGGTACAAGGAAAATCAGCACTGACCGCACAAAGAACGTCCATAATTGAACTAGATTTTGCAGCTGACCATCATAGTTTTCCATCACAGCTAAAGCAATGCAGACGTTTCAAAGGGTTTGGGTGATGGCCTGCACTCTGTAAAACCCACCGTACAAACCAGGACCACAGAGACTCTACAGAGAGGAAGGTGAAAAGGACAGGGGAAAAAATGAAAACCAAAACAGCCCAGGCAAGCTTTTACAAATAGTAAGTTTTTGTCACTAAGTAAATTTTCCAATTGGAACTTCGTCCTTCTGTGCTCTAGTGCCCTCTGCAGGAATTTAACAAAAAGCACATCATTATATTTCTGAGTTGTTTGTTAGTGGAATCCAGCCATTTATTCCCCTTGTCAGAATTTCACTAGAACCTAGTGCCCGGACTCTCATTGGAGAGGCTAACCTTTGCGAGTTAGTGCGAACAGACAAAATCTAAGCCTCTTCTCACTGACAAATCATAGCTTAATTTTAAGCAGGAATTAAAAAGGTACCCAAAACCAACAGGGCTCACTTTCTGAGTAACAAAGTAAGCATCACTTCACAGGCTTTTACAAGCAGTCCATCCACAGCAAAGAGAAAGTATTTCTTCAAAATACGATTCTGAGCACGGAAGCTCAGCAAGTAATCAGAGTTATAAAGGTATATTTCTATTTCAACAGAGGACAAACACCTCACAAAACGCCTGCCTATCCTAATTCTGGTATTCCAGGGAAGGAGACACTACCTCAAATTCATTCAGTGATTCGGAGTAATAAAAAAATAAAGTAATAAATTACTGAGGATTCCAAAATAAGGTTCCCTTCTCCTCATGTTACAAAGAATATTTGGATTGCACTTGCATTTAAAGCATTTTATTCCTCAAGACAAACGATTTGGTAAGATGTATACCATGCTCTTTCCAAGCAGAATGAATAATAACTCTTTTTATCTTTAAATGTGTCCTCTGTTGTTCATTCTACCTCCTGTCTCTCTGTTTAACTAGGTATAATAGCAAGGCTGAATCCTGCTTAAAACTATTTACGTTCATGAAAATTCTCAAAGCCGTGGGCCAAAAACCTAATTACTGCATTAACTTTTAAGAATAGTTCAAACTGACATTAGGCTACACGAGTATAATTACCGATGAATATTACTGCAATGCAATCATAGTAAAAACCGGAGATTCTTATCTCCTAATCAAACAGGTTTAAAGAAATCACAAATTATTCTTCCCTCTCTTCGCACGGTAATAATTACCCATGAATATTACTGTAATGCAATCGTAGTAAAAACCAGAGAGATTCTTATCTCCTAATCAAACAGGTTTAAAGAAATCACAAATTATTCTTCCCTCTCTTCGCACGGTAAATATTTACTCAAAACACGCTGCAGTACTACAGCTACACGTACTAATTGTCTGAGTGAAAACACAAATGCTGTGAAGGACCAGGAATCCTAGAGATGCCAGTGAAGCACAACGGTTAAAAGACCAAAACAAACCCAAAAAAGCGAACAACAAAACGTGTACCCTTCGGGCTCTTTTCTTTTTATGGTGTGGTGGCAATGCCTTGGCTTTCTGCACGCTGCAACGCACAAGTAACAACAGATCGTTCAGACTGAACAGCTTATACACAAGGTTGCCGTGCTCAGGTGCTTTATACTCGGAAGGGTCTTCTTCAAGCATTTGAAGTTCATTTGGCAGCTTTCCTACAGAAAACAAATAAAAATTACAAGCTTGCACATTCTTTACTAAAGCTAATTAGCTCGCTTTCTTTTGCAGTAGGTTTAATTTTTAATTTTCAATAGGATCCGTTTCCTACAAGTTATTTTTCTTCTACAGAAAATGTAAAATAATTCCATTTTTGATTGCCAAGAGAATATTTTTTCAGACCAGACTACTCAAATATTTGAATTTCCAAGGAAAAGGAACTCATTTCGCTACCAAAACATTTATTTTCCTTGTGTATAACCACTTTTTCCTTCTCTAAAGTAAAACAATATTTCACATTCACCTCTGCAGACAAACAGCTCTCAAAATGCTTCTTTGTGTGTGCAAAACTAGTTTTCACACAGAAAAGGTATTAAAAAAAAAGCTAAAGTCACATCTCTCAATAAATATACACAGGTACATAAATATACATACAGTAAATATATAGAGGCATTAAGGACGTTCTTCAGATGAAGGCGTTAAAATTTTACCAAGAGTTCAAGTTTTACTCCTTAGACCACAAACACAATTACTTACTCTTTGGCACTCCCTGAAAAAGCCAAGTCCAGGTATTTTTAGAGGGGTTCGAGGCAGGGCCTGGCGCAGTTTCTGTGCTGGAGGTTACCGGTGGTTTTGGAGACGGAGGCACAGGGGCCGGCACGGCGTTAGAATTATCACAGCTCACCACCGGCTGCTCGGGAGCTTTTTGGGAAGGTGACTTGAGAAGTTCAGTTTGCATTTTCAAAATGTGCCCAACCGGATCCAACTCTTTGGACAACTTTCTCGTAGGCTTTCTGGAAGCATTTTTGCCCTGCTCCACGGTCTCTGAGCAATCCGTCCCGCTCGCTAACGGAATCTGGGTGGGGGAAGGTGATTTGGCAGTCTCTGCCGAGCCATGAGAAGCAACGTTCGGTACGGGTGTTTGGCAAGAATCAGTGGGTTTATGTTCTGTATCAATTATCAAACGTTCTTCATCTGTGTCACTACCACATAAAGAAGCGCAAGTCTCATTTTTTAGCGCGGCATCGGACTCTTCCTTGTAACTAACAGCATCAGAGGGAGTATTTAATTTTGTTCCATTGTCCAATACCTCTTCAGTCGTGACGTGCTGCGCTTTGTTCAGTCCTACTTCCTGCGAATTCAAGTTTTTCTGAGAGGAATTTTCTTCAGGGCTGAAGCACGGAATGCCACCCAATGATGGGAGCTGCGTGCTGGCACATGCTGCAACTCCCTGCTCCCAAAGAGTGTTTTTCCCTTCTTCACCTCCACTGTTTACGGTGGATATACTTTTTTTCCCCGTTTTCAGGTCATGTGATAAAACTTTAGCAGTATTACTAACTGCGGGAAAAGTATTTTCAGTTTTAGAAGTTTTGGAGTGCTTGACAGCTGCTCCAAAAGTTTCCAGCTCTGTAACGTCATCATCAAAGTCCATCCCTGTGTCATCTGGAAGAGGAATCTTCCTGTACTGGCAGGCATCAGAAGGCATCTTAACACAGGGAGAAAAAAGTTATAATGTGAAAGACATTTAAAATAAAGCAAACCAAGAAATAGAATGTGTTAATCACAAAGGAGATACTGAAAACATGAAAAAATAATTGTTCTACTACTCATATTTTGACTGCTGGGGCAGAGGCAGTAATTGAAAAAATAAATCAATCCTGTGTTTCACATGGAACATCTGAAGCTCCACGAGTTGAAAGGCCTTTTTGAAAGTTCATAGAACTTCTCCCACTTAAATAAACTAATCAAAGTACACGTTAATGAACATTGAAATGGAGATGCTAGTTTAACAGAAGCATTTAAAGGAATCAGGCATTTTAAAAGAGAGTCTGTAACTCAGCAGTAGAAAAACTACTACGAGGAAACTGAAACGTTCCCTCATCACCACAAGAACGAGTCCCTCAGGAATTGTAACAGGGGTGCGGTTCGGTTTGCTTGTTTTTAGGAAGCGAAGCCACATACATCCCACTGAGGCAAGTTGTCCTCAGCCGGTTTGTCCATCGATACGTCGGAAACAGAAACGTAAGATGTTTTGGTTGCCAGGAAGTCCATCGGAATTTCGTGGAAGATTTGGTTCCTCTCTCTTACTGTCATTTCCTTTCTCAGCAGAGGTGAATCGACATAAACCACTTTAGCTGGTTTGCCACCTTTGGAAGAAAGGAAAGGGAATGAGCACATATGAAGCAAAAGGTAAAAAAAAAAAAGGTTGCGTATAAGTTAAATAATAGAACTTTCAATTGCCAATTATGGTCAAATCCATTCCACACTCACACGAGAAAACGAAAATGCATCCTCCAATTCATTAACACAGAAAATAAGAGTATGCCCAGATACAGCACGAATTTTTAGGATCCTGAGACAGCAATACGCAGTACAAACAGTATTTTAAATGCATTTCTACATACAGACTATGTAAAATAAGAATTCAGGATTTAGGATTCCTTATATTTCATTATATCTTCAAATGTATTCTGTTGTCCAAAAATATTTTTGTTGCTTCAATGAGCCTCAATTATTTTTATTTTAATTATTTTTTAAAAATTCTTATCACCTAAAAGCAATGGCTGCAGTTTATATTTCTTCCCATCAGTAATTGTTTTTAGGCTTGGCTGCCCCACTCTTCTGTTTATACCGCAACACACTTAACACAGGAATCACCCACAGATGGATCAAAAAAATGACAGCGATACCCTGCCCAGTATTCTGCACAAAGCAAAGGCACATGGTGAACATGGTATCACTGTTCTAGAAAAAAAAGCAAAAACCAAAAAGCAAAAAAATTATAATTAATGCAAGAGGTGGGTTACAGGGAAAGCGGAAAAGAAAGAGGAGAAACCCTTCGAGAAACACTAACAATTGACCTTTCGGTGTTGACTTTGGACCTGAAAATTCAGTGTATAAACCGTAAAGCTGATGCAAAAGAAGTGAGGCGTATCTTTACAGGTAACATAAAGGTAACCATGTAAGAAAGTGCAAAATTTGCAAAACTTGTGGGTATTTTACAGCTTATTTACCACTCTCCAGAAGCCTGCTACACAAAGCCGTGTGAAATGCACACAACACGGGCATTGCCAGACAACGACCATTACAAATACCCATCCTGAGAAAAAAACAGTTCATTTAAAAAAAAAAAAAAAAAAAAAGGAAAAAGAAAGGTAGCAAGAGGAAATCTCCATTCAGATACTGCTGGAGTGTCTGACAAGTGAAGAACAGTGTTCAGGTAAGTTAATCAGTTGATTCAAAACATTCTGTGTTGCAGTTGGAAAAAGTGATCCCCATCATTATTTTTTATTATTTATTCATTAGTCTACAATGCAGCTAGGTTCTTCTCATTCCAAAAAAGCTCTGCTCTTCATTTTTAGCAAAAAAAGTCAAAATTTCTCTTTTTTCTTAGCTAATTGAAATCAGCTCACCTGATTATTTTAATGACTTTATGCAGGATTTTTTTCCCTTTCTAGGAAGCAGAGCTTACAGTCTGAAAAGCAAAAGGATACAAGCGATTTTTTTTTCCCAAATGGAAAGCAGCTGCATGTCCAAACTCAGTGTTAATGGTGACACTTGTAGAGGTTGTTACTATTCTCAGTAACAAGGTGGAACAAGGTGCTGAAAACTATTGAATGACCTTATTATCAAGCTTTCCTCTACGAAAAGAGAGGACAAACTGCAGCAATGGGGTTTTTTAAAGTTCATTTTTCACAGTAGCTTTGATTAAACTAAACAATTTTCTGTACAACAAAGGACTCGTGACTCCTTACCAGATGACAGTTGAAAAATTAACAACTTCAGGATTTTGCCCTTTAAAGATTTGTGAACTAAATGAATCAAATGTCGCTCCTTTGATTCCTGAATTTAGAAACGTGGAAGTACTTAAGAGAAGCAATTTTTTATAAGTGCATTCTAGGGTACTGCTTCTTCAGAAAAGGTAAAAAACTGATCTTACGATTTTTCATTGACCTTAGCTGCTTTTTTTTCTAAATAAAACCAAAATTCAAGTACTCTATTACCGTGTGAACTAAACCAGACTACCTTCTACCTTGCCACAGTTGGATTTACTGGATTTTCTGATCTCCTGTCATTCAGTCTATTTGAAAAGGATTATGAGAATATATAAAGGGCCCCATGGCCGAAAATCAGTAATATTTAAACAAATACTGTACCTGCAACAGGGATCATTTTAATGCAAACTGGGATTTCCCATTGTTCCTTGTAGTTCAGTCCATGATTATTCAGTAAAGTAAATAACGACTGATTACTTAAAACAACGTGAGGACCGTATTTCAAAGCAAGTTTTTCTGCATTTGAATCTGAACTAATATCCTAAACAGAAAAAAAAAAAAGAGACATTTTAAAAGTTTTTAAGAAATACACACATAAAGTTAAATTCATAAGGAAAATCTCAAATGCAAAGAAACATGGATTACACCCCCATGCAAAAAAAAACCCCAAACCAAAACCCCAATTACCACCACACTGCCAGCCTTTGGATCAAATGGAAAAACAACAAATTCCCCTGAAGGTTTTTTTTTGGCTGAATCTTACGCATTCCACCTTGCAGCATGAGAAAATGTATCTTCTTGTCTAGTGCTTCTGAGTTCCTTCCTGCTAATGTGAATTTAATTTGAAGCACTAGGCTGAACAGGAACTTGGATGCTCGTGAAATACATGGATTCCTTCACCCATGTATTACAGAGGTTCTAATGACTTGAAGGAGTAGCACAGTACGGGCACCCAACGTTAAAGCACAGTTAAAAAACTGCACAAGTTATTTAAATATAGATTCCATATAAAGAATCTTGAATATAAAAACATTATGAATACTAATTCAGAATTGAAATTATAAAATCATTAAGCATTAGGAGTACAGGTCTCCATCAAGATGGGAGGCTGGGAATGTTCATGAGGTGGGAGGAGAATATTAAGGAATAAGAAGATAATGGAAGCCCAGGAGCACTGAGGACCATGTGAGAGAAATAAGAAAAAAAAAAAAAAATCTAGCCATGTTCTTTTTTCTGTCACCTGAGACCGTCATCAGAAACGTTCTGTTTATAGCTGTAATATCTCAAGGCGTAACTCATTCTCCTGGGTCACCTCTACGACTTTCTTAAGCAAAAGCGTCTTTGCAATCACAGTGTCTCTACTGAGAGTTTGATTTTTTTATATATGAACAAACTCCTTAAAGTAGTAGATCATTTATCTGGAATAAACAGTCTCAAAAACTAAGTTCTACAGAATGAAAAATCTATTGATTTTCTCTGTGGAAGAACACAGAAACATCAGACATTTAATGGTAAGGTAGAAGGGAATCTAAAAATTGTTCCACTCGGAAATGGAGTTGATGCCGTCTAGCAAAAGAAATACCCAGGGGGAGTTAACTAATTGACTTCTCGGAAATCAGACAGTCTAAAGTATTTCTTTTTACCCTCCGGACTCCTTTCGTCCATCAGAAGCCTTTACACGTACGGGCGTTCACGTGTATGGTATGCACACTCACACACACAGAGGCCACATTAGAAATGGCAAAGCAGAGTTTAAAAGGAACAACAAATAAACATTTCTATCTAGATTCCACAGACGGTGTGTTCCAGTTTCAGAATCTCTCTAATGTTTCATTGAGGGAACAGAGGAATTCTTTTCAAGAGACACTATGGCCAAAATGCAGTAACTTCTGAAGAGGACGGTGTGATTGCTGTAAACAAAATACTCAACAAATAACATTCACGTGCTACAAGATGTGTAACACCAGGGAAAAAACAAAACAAGACAAAAACACCCTACGCGAAAAAGGCCAAATCGCTCTACTCTACAAAAGATGCCTTAAAAACGTCAATAAAAAGGTTACTCACATTGTGCATTGCAGAAGCCTTTTCTTGGGGAGTTACAATAGATGTGACAGTTTGATAATCTGTGGGCAGCTGGACGGGCATGGTCGGGAAATCTGTCTTACAACGTCTTGCCGAGCCCTTGAAGAATACAACGAGTGTCACAAACAAGCTTTAACTAAAACCATGCTGACCCAATGCCACAAAAAATATTAAGAATTTATGCAGGTGCATTATAAAGTTACATTAAAAAACCACACTATTAACGTAATCTTTTTATTGCAAACACACAGTGAAGGGTGCTAACAGTCTTAATACCAAAATAATTTCCTTAACATTTCCATTAAAAATTATAAATTATAACCCCTAACCCAAGCACTGAATAATACTTGTAAAAAACCTGAATCCTTGCATGACACAACCCAAACATAACTCCCACTGTTTGAAAATAACACCTAAACAATACATATATGTAAGATGTTACCAGTGCAAGCAGACTTTTTTCCAGCCTAAAGGTCAACTGCATATGAAACTTCCCTCCCATGATGCTCATGATCTCCTGGAGCGTGTAGAACTCGGGGTACCTTTGCACATGTCCGATACAAGCTCGGAATAATGCCTAACGCAAAAAGAAAAGAGTTTACGCATTGATTCTTTCATAAGAAATTAATTTCAAAACGTTTCTTCTGCAATTGCAAGTTGCGTTGGCATGTACTTTGTGTAGAGAAGAGCAGTAACCTGCTAAATATAACCCCAACAGAGCTGCAGTCAGAGATGGTATTAAAAACTTAGAGATACCAGCACAACTCAACAATAAGCTTACAATCACTGGTATCAGAAGTGAAATGTGTTCTCCTACCCCCTCCATACGCAAGGCTAACGATGTACGCACACAGGCTCGGACCGATCATTAAGCAAAAAAATAGTTTGGCACAGTTTGAAAGGTGCTGAACC